GCTCCCCCTGGCGGCTGGGGTGACGACTGCAGCCAGCGAAGGGATTGGGGAAGGGACCTTCCTGAAGAGTGCGGGGCTTTGCTAAAGGGTTCGGCCCAGATTCTTTGGGCCTGAGTGGGGAGAGAGCGTTCAAGGCCAAGAGGAGATGTTGGGGTGCAGCTCGCGGGACTAAGTGTAGAGGGCGTTGCTTAAGACAGGCCGGAGTCAGCCCGCTTAGGTTTCTGAGCGGCAGAATCTGGGGTACTGGTAAAGGGCAAGATTTGGACTAGGGGGGACAGAGTCCGGTCCCTCACTCCGCGCCAGCTTCACTTAGCTGAGTGCAGGAAAAGCTATTCCCACCCCACCCTCCCTCTGTCCTGGCTTCGCCTCACCCCCTTCTGCAGCAGTGTGTCCCCCCTCCCTGGGAGCACTTAGCCGGCTAATGGGCCTCCCGCAGGCAGGCGCCCCTCCCTCCCGCGTTCTGAGCCCCGGGAGGCTGGGCGCCTGCTACCTCCTTTGAGGACCCAGGCATCCCGGCCTTCCAGAACAGGCCTGGAACAGCCCCCTGCTTGTGCCACAGATCTCCGTGACCTTGTCTCTGTGGGCCTTTTGGCTGAAAACTGTGGAGGGAAAGCTGGTTGTTAGCCCAGAGGGGTCCGAAGCCCCGTGGATTGTCCCCAAAGGAGAGGGACTGAGCAGGGGCTGTGCAGTGCTTGACCCACAGCAGGTGCCCTGAAATCTGTGTTCCAGGGATGGAGGAAGGGAAAGTACACAGGGCACAGGGGTGGGTGGGGCTGCAGCCCCTCCCGCAGGGCTTGACTGGGGGGGCTCCTGCCTGGGGGCCCCTGTGGGAGCCCCCCAATATAGAGGCAGTAGCAGCAGCAGGTTTAAAGTAGAACTCATCCAGAGGGGCCAGCCAAGTCACCTAGAAACCCAGAAAGAGATGCGGCTGGTTCTGGGGGAGGAGGGTCAGCTAGGGAGGAGCGCCCTGCAGGCCCTTATGCCCCAGGCTCTCAGACCCCCAAGAAGACCCTGCCAGGCGCTGGCATTCCTCCAAATCCCCACCATATTGGCCGGTAACTCTAACCTAGTGAATCTCTTCACCTTTAACCATGGCCCTGTGGGGTGTGATTATTATCTCTCCTTGAGGCCCAGAAAGGGGAAGGGACTTGCCCAAGGTCACACAGCCTCACAGGAAGATTTCAGCCCTCTGATTTCTTGCCTCCACTTTCTGCCCTTAAGGAGACAAAGAAATGGGGACCTGACCCATGATCCTCATCCTCTCTCACCAGGGTTGCAAAGTCATACCCCTCAGATAAGTAGGAACCATCAGACATCTTTTGGAGACCCGAGCTGTGAAGAGTGGAGATTGGCTTCTGCTTCCACAGGCCTGGGTTCAGTCTGGCTCCTACTAGAAGCCTCTTGATAACAGCAAAACCTGTGCCTCAGTTCCCTTGGCCAGAAGCTGGAAAAAACAGCAAATAGGTGGGAGATGTCTCCCAGCTACAAGCGGTTTGAGTGGGTAGGAGGCTGCAGGGCCATTAGGCAGGAAGGAAGACAGGGCATGGGTCACCACCAAGACAGGGGAGGTGCCAGGGCCTGAGCTTACTGGGTCTGCGCTGATGGCCCCAGGCGTTGGACAGGGCTATGCCATGGCATTGGGCAGCAGCTCCTTGGAAAACAGGATGGGAGCCTGCCTCCTGAGCCCGAGCCTCTTCTGCTGCCCTGTGTCTCCGGAGGCCAGCACAGCCCCCATTAGAGGGCTCCTTCCTCCTCGGACACTCTCCTCCAGCCTTGGTAATGGAATGGGGTTTCTCGGCAGGCAGTAATGGTGGAAGGAAGGCAGCCTTTCCGGCCTCTACCCTTGATTAAGGGAGCGGTCTTGGCAGTCTCGGAGGGTCTCGGGACCCTCCCCAGGGCCTTAGCTTTAGGGAGGTGCTGGAAGTAGCCTTAGCTGCACCCTGCCCAAGGTGGGCTGGGACCCTGGGAGGGGTGGAGCTGGGGAGGCCACTGCTAAGGGACACACACCAGTCTCAGGAAGGCTCAGGTCAGAGAGCAAGGGCTGGGATGTAGACCCTGGAGCTCTGAGCTGTCAGCCTCCAAGGACCAGGAGGTCAAGATCTTTTCCTAGAAAAGGCTCAGGGCAGGTAAGTAACTTGCCCACAGCCTCTCGGCCTACTGGGCAGAGTCCAGATGTGAACCCAGCCCTTCTGTTTTGAAGCTGCGGTCTTGCACAGGGCAGCCCTGCCTCGAGAAGGCTGCAGGCCTGCGTGCCCCTCTGCACCGACTGTTCTCGGGGTGGGGAGCCACGGGAAGGAGCTGCAGACAGGAATCTGGGTGTGCCTGGGATGGCCCAGGAGGTGGAGAGAGGGAGTCAGGAATCTTCAGAGGGGTATCCTGAGAGTTGGACCTGATCAGAGACCTTCATCCCAACTCTGAGGGAAGGAGGGACAGGAAGGCCAGCTCAGGGTCACAGTATCTTGGGGTGGGGGGACACTGGGACTGGAAGGTTTTACTACTGCAGCAGCTGTTAGGCATTAGGAGTCTTTCAAATGCATTCCTCTTCTAATCCCAGGCCCAAATCAATGCTCAGGTTCAGAAAAAGCTGACCCACTGGGCGGTGGGAGAATTTGGAGTCCGGTAAACTGATGCTCCCTCCTGGCAGGCCAGGCTTGGAGCAGGAGGCCAGGTCAGCTCTAAGGTTCCCAGTGGAGAGGGTGGGTCCTGCTAATCAGCGAGAGCAATGGTCAGCCTTTCCCTGGCCCCCCACATTGACTGAAGGGAAACTAAAGCTGCAGGAGGAGCTAGGGAGGGAGGGGAGCATCAGTTCACCCTATCCTTCCCCTGGACTGAGTCCAGCGAACCTGTCCCCCGTCCGATCCCCTTGGGGAGAAGCCCACCTCAGCCTGGACACCATTTCCAGCCTCGGTCTTCTCTCTCTCTTCTCTCCAACTACAGGTAAAGCATGAGCCTGAAGTCATGGGCTCAAGTTTGGCTGCTGGGCAGTAACTATGTGACCAGGGGGTCATTCTCAACCCCTTTCTGAGCCTTGCCTACTGCAGAGGGCTTCTTCCTCCAGCATTCAGAGAGAGAGAGTGTGTGTGCAGGGGGGTGGCAGGAGGCTGGCAGCGGAACACTGCCTTTCAGACCCTGAGCCCCTGTTTGGGATGGTGGAAAGAAAGCCTGATGTCCATGGAAACCTCCCAGGGTGAATTGCATGACTTTTCTGGGCAGTGTCCAAGACAGGGGGGATGAGTATAGCAACTTCGCATGGGGGTTTTGAAGCTACATAACCTGAGATCAAATGCTCAGGTCCCCCTTTATCTAGCCATTTGGCTTAATTGACCTCAGCGGTACAGTACATGGACATGGCAGTCAACGCCTTGCTACAGCCTTCTGAGAAAACAGAGGCACAGAGGAAGCCATTTATTCTTTCACTCGTCATATGTTCAACTAATGGTATCAAGTCACCTGCTATGAATCTGCCATAGCTGCAGGCACTGGGGTTCAGCACTGCCAGGTAAATTGCCCAGTACTAATACATGTGGGCTTGGAGACAAGCAGGTAGACTCAGGCCTGGGCATTAGCAGGGAAGGAGGTCTGCAGAGTCCCATGGAGCTCAGGATCTTGAAGTGAAAAGACAGACAATAAGAGAATGAATGAGACCATTCTGAAATGCAGAGGATCAACCAGGAGGAAGGAATGGGATGCGCGGTCTGGTTGAGAGCTGGGTCAGTGAGATCTGAGGGACAGACAGGGTGAGGATCTGCGGGAGAGCGAGTACGACGCCCTCACCGCGGACCCCCCCGGGCGGGGGCGGGGGTTCCCGTTAAACACTCCTCGTGGGTCAGTTGTTACATGACTTTCATTGTCATGTCCCGGCTCCCCCACTTCCCAGCTCTTTGCACTGAGTGTCCTCATTTGTACACACACAAGTTGGGGCGCGGCGCCCCAGACGAGTTTGTGCTTCCCGGCTCGCGCTCGGCGGAGGCGGAGGCGGAGGCGGAGGGGCGACCATGCCGGGCCGGACCCACGAACTACATCTCCCATCAGCCCGCTCTGGCCGCCATCTTGGCAGGGGGGGGGGGGGCGCCACGACTTCTGGCCCTGCACGCCGGCTGGCCGGCGGTTCTCACCTCCCACGACGGCCTTCTCGTGGGGAGCTTAGGACCCCGCCAAGTAGGGCGTCCGAGGACCTGAGCCGCCCCTCCTCACCTTTTCCACTTTCCATCCCCGGGAGCCCCGTCCACGTGTCGGTTCGCGCAGAGAAGCCCGTTCGCCCCTCGCTGGTCAAGGGCTGGAACACCTAGACACGGGGGGTGGGCTCGTTTCCTCACCGGCCCCTCGCCCTGCACAGTGCCGCCTCTCCTCCATCCCCAGATGGCCCCTGGTCCTGCCTGAATGAGGACAGAATAAGACATGGTCCAATGAGCACTGGGGTTCTGACGGGAGCGCAATTCCTGGTACTGGACGCTTAATACGCCTGCGTTTGGCGCTGGAAATTAGGGGGTACAGACAGCCAGACCTAAACCCCTGCAGACCAGACCCTCCCACAGCTCCAGCCCGGAGGCGGGGTGGGGATAAGGGGCCCGTAGTGGGGCTGGCCCTTTAAGGGGGTGTGGTCGAGGGGCGGAGGAAGAGAGCGAGACAGAGAAAGCGGCTTCGGCGGCGGCTGCTCGGGCGGCGGCCGCGGGGGACAAAGGGCGGGCGGATCGGCGGGGAGGGGGCGGGGCGCG